GGGAAGTGTATTACTCTTGTAAACCAAAAATAAAATTCTAAGCTCCCTACCATCTGAATGGACCCTCCTCTCAGCAAGAACATTCTAAAGTTAACCTGAAAAGCTAGTTCAGGCCATGACTGTAAGGGGAAGCCAGACATGCCACATTATATCATTTTCCCTTTTGAAATCACTGATAGAACACATTCCGTAAGTCTGATAAGAAACATTTAACAGTTTATTCTTTGTGAAGCCTGCTTTCTGGATGCCTCATCTGCATGATAAACCTTGGTTTCCCGAACCCCTTAGCATAACCCAGACATTCCTTTCTATTGATGATAACTCTTTCAACGAGTTGCCAATCAGGAAATCTTTAAATCTACCTGTGACCTGGAAACCCCTGCTTTGAGTTGTCCCACCTTTCTGGACCAAACCAATGTACATCTAACATGTATTGATTGATGTCTCATATATTCCTAAAATATATAAAACCAAGCTGTACCCTGACCACCTTGGGCACATGTCATTAGGATCTCCTGGGGCTGCTGCGGGTGTGTCCTTAACCCTTGGCTAAATAAACTTCCTAAACTGATTGAGACCTGTCTTAGATACGTTTCGTTTGCACTCTTGACAGTAGCGCTAGCCAGAGTACCAGCACTTCTGCATGGATTCCTCAATCCATAATTACCAGAGGCTGATGTAAAGTGGGGCTAGGTGACACCAGCACATGTAGTGGGTTTGTGACAGGAGAGAAATCCAGAACTTAGAAGACCTGAATCTTGCCTAAGGCTAGTGAGCATGCCTCTTTTTGGTATGGAGGGAGACACTATCTCATCTTTGAAGGACGTTTGCTATTAAAACATCTTTGAAAAGGTAGTATGAATAACGGGAAGTAAGTGCAGAAATGTGTGAGATACTAGGAGAATTGTCTCTCAACAAGTACCTTCCTATATTATTACAAATAGACACTATTCCCTTATGGGAATTGTAAACTCAAAGGGCCAAGGTGAGGGGTAGGGTGCATACAGGTAACGTAAATATGTGTATTGAGCTAAATGCTAATAATAGGGAGTGGCAGGCTCTGTGGTGAAGATGAATTCAAGAGAGCGTGCTCCTCCCTATCCAATTTCCTGAAGACATTTAAACTAATTTTAAATAATAGTGTTTGTCAAAACTATGGTCACGGTTCACACTCAGTGATGAGCACGACGCATTCCTTACACATTTGTATTGTATACCCGCTACAAGAATCTTGAAAAAATATGTATCTACTTAAATTTTTTTTTGTTTTTATACAGGGCCTCTCTGTGTTGCCCAGGCTGGAGTGCAGTGGTGCCATCATAGCTCACTGCAGCCTCAACCTCCTGGGCTCAAGCAATCCTCCCTCTTCAGCCTTCTAAGTAGCTGGGAGTATAGATATGTGCCACCATGTCTGGCTAATTTTAAAAATGTTCTTGAAGAGACGAGATCTCACTATGTTGACCAGCCTGTTCTTGAGCTCCCGACCAGAAGTCAACCTTCTACCCCAGACTCTCAAAGTGCTGGGATTATAGGCCTTAGCCACTGTACCTGACATCTACTGATAATTTTTAAGTTGTCCTCAGTGGGTTTTCAGCAGACATTTAAATAAGTTTAATTTTTGTTAATATTAAGTAGAATATAAGAATTTTATGAGAATTGACCAGCTAGAATAAACATTTAATTGTATGATTTGATTTTATTTGTAAATTTGGTTTTAATGTCTGATTGAATAAAGCATACCACGTATCTACAGATTTTAGTCAGTGCATCTGAAAAAATTTGGGAGTCCCACAAGATATTCCATTTATATTGAAAAGAAAAATCCTGACATATGTACTTGCTTTTTCTGTTCTGAATTCATGTGCAATGTAGACCAAAATGCCCACTCTCTCTCTCTCTTTTTTTTTTTTTTTTATTTTGAGACAGAGTCTCAGTCTGTTAACCAGGAGTGCAGTGGTGCAATCTTGGCTCACCGTAACCTTTGCCTCCTGGGTTCAAGCGATTCTCCTGCCTTAACCTCCCAAGTAGCTGAGACTACAGGCACCTGCCACCATGCGCAGCTAATTTTTGTATTTTTAGTAGAGACGGGATTTCACTATATTGGCCACACTAGTCTTGAACTCCTGACTTTGTGATCCACCCGCCTTGGCCTCCCAAAGTGCTGGGATTACCACACTTTGCCCAAAATGCCCATTCTCTAATGCCAAGCCTTATAAAAAAGATAAAAGCCCAAAGTGCTGGGATTACCATGCCTGGCCCCAAATGCCCACTCTCTAATGCTAAGCCTTATAAAAAAGATAGGAAGCCCTATGGATTAGTGTGCTCTGTTTCATCGTTAAGGGAGATTTCTTCCAAACCAGTATTTTCGTGTGTGCTGTTGTTTGACACGCTGGAGGCGTAAGCCAGGGGAAAGTGCCATGTTAAGGTTTGGATTGGGTGAGAGGTATGCATTTATTTTGGAAAGTAGGAGAAAGACTTTTATGAATATAAGCTTGTTCTTAGGCAGATCAATTGTAGAAAAAGGTTTCTTGTGGATCTAGAGGTTGACTTCTCAAAAACATCATTGGATGATGTAAGAAAGTTTTCATGGGTTTCCAGGGGTACCAGTATCCCAGTTCAGAGACTGCTGTCTTACATTGTGTCCCCAAGAACATGCTTTCTTTTGTGAACAAATTCACTGGCTATCTGGATTCTTGAAACGTATTTTCCATTTTCTTCCCTTTTTTGAAGCTTGACTTTCCTTTGATAATAGTCCCTTTGAACACTCTAAAAAGGAGGTTGCTGTCTCTTGGTCTCTCGATGTCTCATAGTTCCAGGAGATGAGACAATCTAATTTGGTCACTGATCTGACATTTTCGTTCTTGCATTTCAGTCTGAGATCACTTATAGGCCAACTCAGATGTCTCTCACTCTTCAGATCTCAGCTCAAGCATCCTTCACCAGGGAAGTCTTCAGCAACCCTTCAGTTTTGGTTAGATTTATTACATACTGTCATAAAGTTGTGTTTTTTAAAAACACTTATTTCATTTATAATTACATATTCATCAGCGTAATTATGAGATTACTTTCTCTTTTCCTCAAGGCAGTCATTTCCGGTAGAGATGATGTTTCTTTTCTACCATTGATCCCTAGCACCTGCAGAGTGCCTAAAAAGTAGCAGGCACTCAATAAATATACAGAATGAATGAATGGTGCTCTTTGGGCCTTCTGATCAAATACTCTTATCTTGCGTTTGAAAGGTCCCAAATTTGATTCTGATAGCCAGCCAGATTTAGGGATCATTGCTGTGATAGGTGGTAGAGGGTCCTGCTTCATACCCTGGGCTGGGTCAACATGTGGAAATACGACAGAAGAAAAGCCAAGTACCAGTTATTAGTTGCTGTGTCTTCCAACATTGTTAGTTGCTAGCTGTAGAAATAGATTCTGGTGGGTTTGGGTGAAGGATCATTTATTTTGAGGATATTGGGTTGCCTAGAGAATTACTAGGAAGACTGGAGAATCAGTCTTCCTTGTGCAACCTTGGGCAACATTCAAAATCATGTTGTAGGTTGGGCGCTGTGGCTCATGCCTGTAATCTCAACACTATGGGGGGCCGAGGCAGGCAGATTACCCGAGGTCTGGAGTTCAAGACGAGCCTGGCCAACATGGTGAAACCCCATCTCTACTAAGAATAAAAAAATTAGCCAGGCGTGGTGGCACACGCCTGTAATCCCAGCTACTCTGGAGACTGAGGCAGGAGAATTGCTTGAACCCGGGAGGCAGAGGTTGCAGTGAGCTGAGATCAAGCCATTGCACTCCAGCCTGGCCAACAGAGTGAGACTCTGTCTCAGAAAAAAAAAAAAAAATGTTGCAGAGCTGGTCTAGTGAGGACATTGCAACCACTATCCGCATCACTAGATGCTTCAGCTTACTCTGCAGGCAGTGTTAGAAAACATCTGCTGTAGTTGTGCCAGGAGCTTGATTTGCAATTGTAGCTACTACTGCAGAGAGAGTTTTGTGCAAGTTTGTACCACTGGACAGAGTTGGGGGGTTGCGTTTGAGCAGTTGAGCTGAAATCATGGGATGGGCCTGCTGTAGCTTCAAGGAAGGGTGGAAAAGTCACATTTTTAGCTTTCACAGTGGAGGCTGGGCTCTGCCTTACCAAGAATCATAAGGTGAGGGAATTTTACAAACAATGAAGTTTCAGATAATAGGTAGCTAGAAAGTATGACAGATGTCAGTTCCAACGGTTACTTGTGGCTGTGCTATTTCTCTTCTTCCTATGCCCTCATAGTTCTTCGTTTGCATAGTACCTATCATGCTTTATTCTGCATAGAGTTACCTGTATACATGTCTTCCCACCTGGAAAGAACTTATGTTGCATTCATCCCTGCATTCCTTCAGTGGCCAGTGGAGTGTCTGGGTGTGGTCATGTGGCAAGAGGTTTGGGGTGTCATTAGCAGTTGTTGAGAATCTTCTGTTGAGGTGTGTTGCGAATGCCTGTAAATTGAACTAAATTAAGTTTGTCACTGGGGGTCCGCTATCTCAATATTCTGATCTGACAGTTCTTGAATCTAGAGTTCTTCTGTAGTGCATAATAAATAAGTTATTGGTACTACAAATTCTGAAACCTTTTTTCTTCTTTCTTTCTTTTTTTTTTTTTTTGGGGGGGTTTCATTCTGTTACCTAGGTTGGAGTGCAGTGGCGTGATCTCGGCTCACTGCATCTGCCTCCCAGGCTCAAGTGACCTTCCTACCTCCGCTTTCTGAGTAGCTTTTTCTTTCTCTGCCACATGGTCAGGCGGGGGGCCATTAGCCTGGTACAGGAGACATTGCATTCCTTCTAGGCCTCAGGGCCTGTGATGGGAAGGGCTGCTTCAGAGTTTTCTAACAGGTCTTCGAGGCCTTTTTGCCATTGCCTTTGCTGTCAGCACTTGGCTCTTTTTAGTTATAGAAATCGCTTTTTCTTTCTCTGCCACATGGTCAGGCTGAAATTTTTCCAAACTTGTATGCTCTGTTTAAATAGAAATTTGATATTGAAGTTATCTCTGCTCTCACATCTGAGTTAGGCTGTTGCAAGCAGCCAGGACACTTCTTGAATACGTTGCGACTTAAAGATCTTTTCCTGCACTTATGCTACGTCACCACTGTTAGGTTCAAATTCCATGCTTTGGACGTCCTTGAGCACTTCTTGTAAGGCCAGTTCACTCATGATGCATTCCCTTAGTATTGCTTTTCTGGGGAGACGTTGTTTCTCCTTTATTGACGGAAAGAGTAACCTTGCTGGAAATACCATTCTTGACTAACTTTCTTTCAGTACTTTCATGTATCATTTTATTTTCTTCTGGTCAATAAGGTTTTGACTGAGAAATTCCCTCTTCATCTGATGGAGTTTACTTGACACGTGACTAGATGCTTTTCTTTTGGTGGTTTTAAAATTTGCATTTTCACATGGACTTTAGATAGTCTGACTATAGTTTGCCATGGCAAAGACCCTTTGCATTGCATTCTTTGGGGATATTTGTCTCCCGTATCTGGCTGTCTAATTCTCTTGTTAGATATGAGTAGTTTTCATTATTATTTCATTAATAGGCCAGCACGTGGGCTGTGGTTCCAGGTGGGCTCGGAGGGGCAGCTGCCTGATGTCTGGACAGCTTCCCTTTCTGACTCTTTGCTTACCTGGACTATGGGTTCCTTGTTGGCTGCTTCTGCCAGTTCTGGGTTTTCAAGGGGAGAGTGGCCCAGTGATGGCTGTTCTTTGAGGAAAAGGGAAGAATGTCTCTTGCTTAAAATGTTTCTGTGTTTCCAGGTAGCTAGTTAGTTAATTAAAGCCAGGGTCACTCACTCTGTTGCCCAAGCTGGAACACAATGGCACCATCTTGGCTCACAGCAGCCTCCACCTTTCAGGATCGAGCAGTGCTCCCACCTCAGCTTCCCAAGTAGCTGGGACTACAGGCACATGCCACCATGCTTGGCTAATTTTTTTTAAAAAATGTTTTTAAACTATTGCCCAGGATGTTCTCAAACTCATAGGCTCTAATGATCCTCCTGACTAGGCCTTCCAAAGTGCTGATATAAAGGCCATGGTTTTAATTTTTTAAAGCTTACAGCAGTGGTATTAAACTCTTACTTTTCAGAGAAAGTGCACTCTTTCCCCATTTCTCATCTTATCCTCTCCTGCCTCTGCTTAGGGCTCACTCTTGGGGAAAGGGCCTCTTGAGAGATTCCTTTTTGTATGTGACTTGTGACTGACAGGTCCCTGCTCATAGAGGCTGCTTCTCAGGATGGGGTCCCCAGGGTCTGGAGTGTGACCTCTGAAAATCTTCAGGGCCACACGCAGAATGAGAGCCTGTGACCACATAACCCCTGGAGGGGGACGTCCTGCCACCCTGTGCGTTACTGTGCAAATCTGGATGTACATTTCAGATCCTTGGAAAACGTTAACCAGTAGGACCTAGAAGAAGAGGTGAGGAGGGGTCACCCTCCAGGTGTGCCTGTGGTGAGCCTTCAGGCTGAGCAGGTGCAGGGAGGGAGGCCCAGGTGCACACAGCTGTGAAGTAGGAGCAGCTGGCTGGGCTCCTTGACCTGCTCCAGAGCTTCTCCTCATTTTCTAACCACTTCACCTGCAGAAGGCCCAGGTGGTTGTGGCCTCTAGGGTCCCTTGCAGTGAATATGATGACCATCCTCAGCTTTTCTGCAGGCCTGGTGCTGTACTTAGCACCGTCGTATGTGTGTATGTGTATGTGCACACACGTGAATGTGTGCAGACATCATGAGGTGTGGTCCCTGCTCTTAGGTAGCTTGCGTTATGGCTGAAATGAAGCACCCCCTGAAGCAAGGGATGGAAACACAAGCCCAGATACAGTGGCCTTGTGTGGAGTCAGACGGTGGCTTCCTGACCTGGCTTCACCCCAGAACCACCTGGGGTTTCTAGTTGTGCAAATCCCGGGTTTTACCCAGATTATGAGTCCAGTTCTCTTCAGGTAGAGCCTCCAAAGGTATATTTTTTAACAAGATCTCTCCCCCACCCCAGGTGCTGCCCATTCACCCAGCCCAGCCCGTGGTCTCAGTGCACCCAGGAACTGCTGACATAGAGCTTGTGCTCCCCATAGAGTGGGAGACAGAGCCTTCCTGGACAGTGCACGTGTGGCTTGGTCATGACAGTCAGGGTGTTTCCTACCAGCACAGACTGTGTTCAGGTGACATTAACGGACAAGTTTCTACAGGCTAGCTGCCTGGACAGTGCTTTGTGGGGTATGAGTTAAAGGGATCACAGAGGGGCTTTCTTCCGGTCCCCTCACCAGCTGCTTGATTTAGGACTTGGCTCTGGGTCCTTCTAGGCCTGATTCTCAACCATGGGACTGGCATGGCCTGCAGGCTCCTCCTGCCGGAAGCTGTTCGTGGTACAGGGAAGAACAGTGTCCACAGTTCCCCAGACAGCAGCCGTGGGTGCCAGTCCCCCAGGAATTGCTACAGAAGTTGCTGCTGAATAACTCCCTTTTCACTAAGCTCCACATAGCACCCATGGTAAGGGGAGCGGGCTGGAGAATGCCTGCCAGCCTGAGCCTCAGCTCCCAACTGGGAGGGGCAGAGGAAGGAGGGGTGGAGGCCCCAGGCAGCAGGGTTGTGGGAACAGTGGGGCCCTGGATTCCAGGTGTCTGGCAGGTCCCCTCCTTACTCCACCTCTCTTGGCCTCTGGATGGAGGTGCTGGCCGCAGTTAGGACTCTGCCTCTGACTAAGGGCTAGAGAAGTGGCGGGTGTGGGCTGCTTCCCCATGGGGCCTCTGCACAGACCCCAGGGCCTCTGCCAATCATGACGGGTGCTTTCAGCTGGACCCACAGGCCCTACAGGACAGATACTGGCAATCCACCATCATCGCCATGAATGGGGTACATGTCTATGGGACTCTCCTGGCCCTGACTTTCCCCAGAAGGATAGGGTGGTCTGCATTCATTTCAAACCACTAAGAAGTGGCTAACTAAGCCTAAGCCAGCATCTGAAAGGGAGCCTGGCTGGAGGAGGGAGGGCCCCAAAGAGCAGAATAGCCATGCACAGGAATCTTCATTCACTGGCTGGGATGCAGGTGCCAGGCAGGCCTTAAGCATCCCTCCTCACACAGAGGTCTGAGGGCACTAGAAAACAGGTGGGGCTTCCACTTGGGGACCTGGGGGCTGGCTGAAGAAATGGAGAACGCTGACTTGTCTTTAGGTACCCTGCAAAGGTTTAGCCATTAAGAGCATGACACACTCAAAAAGGCCTGGGTATGTATGGCGAAATGTTGATAGTTGATGATTCTTGGTTTTTCTAAAATTTTCTGTCTTTCCTATTTAATTTTAATTGTTACTAAGAAAGAGAAAGCCTGGTACAGTGCACCTATAGTTTCAGCTACTTTGGAGGCTGAGCCAGGAGAATCACTGGAGCCCAAAAGATCGAGTTCATTCTGGGCAACACTGCAAAGCCTTTATCTTAAAAAAAAAAAAAAGAAGAAGAAGAAGAAGAAAAGAAGAATTAAGAAGAAGAAGAAGAAGAAGACGAAGAAGAGGAAGAAGAAGAAGAAGAAGAAGAAGAAGAAGAAGAAGAAGAAGAAGAAGAAGAAGAAGAAGAAGAAGAAGAAGGAGAAGAAAAAGAAGAAATAAGAGAATCAATGGGGATTTTAGTAGGTGGCTCTGCAGAAGCCAGTCCTTGACACCATCTTCAATAGTGCTGGTCTTGCTGAAGCAGACTAGGGGCTTCCCCGACGGCTGGCCCCACCTGAGGCTGAGACCTCTGCATGTCTTGGGGTTTGAAATATTTGACGAGACCCCTCAGGGGGCCTTGGAAACCTGGACTTGAGGACCAGGAGGATTAGAGGACTCTGACCCTTCTCTCCACTGCCACTGAAGTAAAGCTCTCGGTCAAGTTCACCAGCAGGGAAATCAGCTTGAAGACAATGTCCCGAAAACAGACAGGGATCTTCAGAGTCAAGATTGCTGTGGTCGCCAAGTGAGAGGGAAGAGGCTTCGGCTTATGCAGTGAGGGTGCCTGTGCCTTCATCTATTTCTGCAGGAAAGAGCATGTGTGGGTCTCTCCTCTCTGTGCGTGGTCACTGCACAGTGAGGTCAGACCTCAGGGAACAGTTTAGCTACCTCCTGTGTTTACTCAAAACCAGGTCGGGAATGTTCTTGTCGCCTTGCTTGGAAGCAGTAGTCTGGCTCCAGGAGCTGCCCAAGTGCAGGGTTTACTGCCCTCGCCTGGAATTTGTCATGGTCCCAGGTTCCTGTTGAATGGTCATAACCCTGCCCCTTTGTCATGAGTCAGTTGCCAAGAGAAGCCAGTTTGTTGGTTTGAGAGCAGTTCTTGCAGACACAGACCACATCTTCTGAGAATTTTTTGCTTTCCCAGGATGGAATCCAGCTGGGCCCCTGAACTTGCTGGTCATGTTGGCCAGGGCCGCCATCAGTCATACCCTGGAATCCTTTCTGTGTCTGAACCCCACTCCCCACCCATGACTGTATGGGAGCCACTTGCAGAGCACTCTGGGAGAGTTCTGGGCACGAGCAGCGAGGACTCCATCAGCAGCTCCCCCAAATATGCACTGCTAATAAGGGTGGCTTGAGAAGCAGATTTGATGTGCTCCTAAGTCCAGTTGCAAAACAGAACTAAAGTTAAGGTCTCAGCACAGCACTGCCTTCTAACTTTGAAGTGTTCTTACTCTAATGTCCTGTGTGGGGGTAATTGAAATTGTTCATTGCCAAGAGTCAGAGGAGAAAAGCACTTAGCTTCGCAAGACTGGGAGCAGTGGTTCTGAGACAACACTTCATTCATTTGTCCAATGTGTACTAAGGCAGGCCTGGGCCCGCGGCAGGGGTCAGGGAATTCTCCTCTCACACAGCACCTGTGTGGCAGGACCAACACCGGGTCTGATCTCCCAGCTGGGAGCAGAGGCTGCTAACCCCAGGCCTGGAATCTTTCCTTGCAGGAAAGCTGACTTGTCTTATACGGGCCTCCTGAGCCTCCCCCAATGATCATGTGGACTCACAGGGCTCTGGATGCTTCAGCCTTGTAGAAAAGTCCTGAGAGAGTACATGCAATGAGGACTGAACTTGCAGAGGGAGGGCAGGCGTGCAGGAGGCTCCGCGTGCAGCCCCAGGCCTGAGCACCGTCGTCACCCTCTTCAGCCCTGCTCCAGTGTGCAGATAAGGGGCAGGTCTCCTGTGCTGTAGCCCAAGCAGGGCTGTCAGGACACTGAGAACATTTCCTTTTCCTGCAGGAGACAGAGGTCCAAGGTGCCCTTTATCTTGCACCAATGTGTGGAGTAGATCAAGCATCATGGCATGAAGGAGGTGGGCATGTACTGCGTGTCTGGAGTGGCCACGGACATCCAGGCGCTGCAGGCAGCCTTTGTCATCAGCCGGATCGTGTCGTGATAGAGGTGTGGGCGTCAATGTCCACAGTGAAATCTCATAGTGCTCCATGGCCGGGTCATGTCACATTCTTCACTGTGTCTTTTCTTCATTTACTGTTTTATTATTTTTTTAGAAAAGAGAAGACAAGAGTTGTAGAAGGAGCTTCTGTAGAAGCCAGTTCTTGAACCATCCTACCTACCCATACCACTTGCTGGGTGGACCAGGGGCTGCTGGGGGGCCTTGGCCTTCCTGCCTTGAGGGTGGACATGAGGTGCAGACCTCAGTGTGTTCTGTCCACTGCCCTGTGTGAGGATGTGGTGGGCAGAGGGCACTGATGGGACCCAGCTCAGGCTAAGGGTGCACCACCTCCACCTCCATCTCACCACCCCTCACGGAGTATTAAGGACCTGGACCTGTCCCAAATGCCAGGGGAGGGCACTGAGAACCCAGAGTGTCCTTGTCCAGCAACTTCAAAGCAACAGGACTTTGTGCTTGTGACCTTTCTTTTGGGCACACACCACCCACCCAGACCAGGACCCCTAGAATGCCCAGCACCCCTGGGTGGGCCGTGTGGTAGTTTCAGTTCCCTCTGGAGGCCCACGCACTGTGCAGTGACCACGCACAGAGAGGATGGACCTGGCCTGTGGTGGGAAGGTCAGCTCCAGTGGCCAACTGGATACAAAGGAAGACACTGGTTCAAACACTGAAACCCATCGTGTTCTCCCGCAGCCTTCCTGCTGTCAGAAGACTGGTACAGGGGTGGTTGCTACGAACAGGGCAGAGCCACCCAATTCCCATGCAGGCTGTGAGTCCTGCTGCACTGGCCTCCTTCTGGACGTCACATTGGGCCAAGCAGGGGAGAAATATGGGGATGCACACACCCCTCCATCATCTCTACACAGACGCAAAACCAAGCACAGCTCTTGGGAGGAGGAAGATGAGCTGCTCAAAGCAAGGGAGGGACCCGCACAGTGGCCAACGTGGCAGGGACGGTGCTTTAGCCAAGGCAGGGATGGCGGGAGATCCACTTGGGATCCTCAAGGAGGCCGCAGCACTTCCATGTTCTTTCCAGATAAGAGGGACGTGTCGATGATGATGAGTGAGTTGGACGTACACGCCATCACAGACACGCTGAAGCTGTACTCCCATGAGCTGCCTGAGCCCCTCTTCACTGACAAGTTCTACCCAACTTCGATGAGGGCATCAGTGAGCACTGGAGGCCTTGGTGTCATAGGAGGTGTCTCCTCCGTGTGCACTGCTGCCACTAGGGGCTGTGGAAAGTGAGGTGTGAGAACCCAGGCTGTGTCCTTTCTGCCATGGTCAGTGTTTTAACCAAGCTCAGAAAGCAGGGGCCACAACCTAGGCCGTTGTGTAAGTCCTCGTCTGTCCCCAGAGGACTCCTTGTCCTATTCCTCAAGGAGAACAAGAGAGTAAAATGCTCATCACTGCTGTGCTGTGGGGTCCTAAAGTCTGCTGTCCCCCTTCCAGCAGAGCAGGGCTGAACGAGGGTCCCCAGGTGCTCCAGCCACAGGTCCTGACCCAGTCAAGCACAGGAGCAAACCTGGCCCGACCCCGAGTCAACCTGGGGGCTGATATCTAAGCACGGCACTGGCGTGTGCGGCCCCGTATCCTCCACATGACCCTTAGGGCAGGCCTGCCTCCCGGGCCCACGCACAGAGGACCTGCTCTACCAGCCTGAGGTGCCCCTGTGGAGTCTACGGTGAAGAGAGGGTCTCTGCTTAGTTTGTGGGGCTGGGGCCACCCACCTCCCACCTCCTTGTGTCCCTCACTCCCCTTTCTCATTTTATGCTAAGCTTCCACTACTCTGGGCTGCCCTCAGGAGCGGGTGGCAGCTGCAGTTTCCCACGGGCAGCTCCGCCCATGAGCCACTGCTCTCACGCCACCTCCTGCTGCTGTTCTCCAGGTGCTGCTGACCCCTGTGAGGCAGAGAAAAGGGATTCAGGTGGCTCCTACCCCACACTGGCACCCTTCACAGGGTCCTCATTGGGGGCCAGCGCTGTGGGAGTGAGGATAATGATGAGCCTGGGCTGTTCAGGAACACATGTCCTGGGTGCTCCATGTCACCACCTTAGGAGAGGTCTCCAGCTCGTTGTGACCATGAGGAGTAACCCACTGCCTTCTGCAGTAATTTCAGACCCCACTGCAAAGGAGCACTCCATGCTCAACCTGCCCTTGTCCTGGCTGGAGGCCAACCTGCTCACCTTCCTTTTCCTTCTGGACCACCTGAAAAGGTAGCCCAGCTCTCTCATGGCTGCCCAGGGAGGGCTACAAAAACCCAGGCCACAGGGTGCCCCTCTGCTCACATCAGACCCCCAGTACCAAGGACATTTTCCCCCAACCCATCTACATTCCCTCACTGCCTCTGGGGCCCAGCGCCACTGCCACCCTCACCCCAGCCTCTCCTCTTTGCCCTGCTCCCCACTCTGCACTGTGGCTTCACAAAGAGCTCAGAGCTTTGGCCATGGCCAGCAGTGCACTTGAACCCCCCAACTCCCTCACTCCCCAACCGTGGAGCAGACCTCCCCACCAGCCCAGAGCTAACCCCTCATCCTGGGCCGCTGAGACCCACAAGTACCAGGGCTGGAATCAGCTTGCAGCATAGCCAGGGTCAAGGTCGCTCCCTCCCAGAGGATTCCAGCACGGCCCAGCCCCTCTGCCTCTTTTCTGGTGGTGGCGTAAAAACAGCACCCTCTGCTTCGGTCCTGCACAGGGTGGTAAGAAAAAGGCAGTCAATCAAAGTCCCAGCACAACCTCTCCATGGTCTTTGGCCCCACACTGCTCCAGCCTCAGAGAAGGAAAGCAAGCTTTCTGCCAATCCCAGCGGCCCAGCACCATGACTGACAGCTGGTCCTTGGAGGTCATGACCTATGTGTAGGAAGACAGGCTCCAGCCAGCCCATGCCACCCTGACCTGACAGAGGTGGCCTCTGCCTGCCACACCCCCAGTCCTGCCCTGCCCAGCTTCCTACTTGTGTTGTCTGTGGTGGCACCTGACATTCAGAGAGAGAAACTTGCCTAGGTCTGCATGGATGAGTGTTGGGGAGGCCCAGGCCACCTCTTGGTCCTGCTGGTGCACCTTACTGGGGGCTTAAAACCTCCCCAAGTGTTTGGGTGTGGAGGCTCATGCCTGTAAGCCCAGCACGTTGAGAGACTGCGGCAGGATAACTGAACCCAGGTGTTTGAGACCAGTCTGGACAATGCAGCAAACTCCATCTCTAGAAAAGAGAAAAGGAAAAATTAGTCAGGCATTGTGGCACACACCTGTAGTCCTAGCTACTGGGGAGGCTGACACAGGAGGGTGGCTTGAGCCTAGCACTTAGAGGCTGCAGTGATCCATGATGGAGCCACTGTACTCCAGCCTGGGTGACAGAGGAAGGCCCTGTGCACCTCTAAAATAACCCCCACAAGTCATGCCTTGTCTGTATCCGCACCCCTACCTCCTGTCTCACTGTAAAGGCTTCATGGCAGCAGCAGAGGACCCGGCACCTGAGCTGGACTTGGGGGCTAAAGATCACCAGCTGTGAGCACCCTCTGAGCCTCTCTCCTCTTTCCCACTCTTTCCGGCAGGTCCAGGTGCTGCTGTACTTCCTGCAGCTGGAGGCCATCCCTGCCCCCGACAGTAAGAGACAGAGCATCCTGTTCTCAACCGAAGTCTTAAGGCCCCTGTCCATCTCCAGAAGGCAGATAGACGTCCCTGAAACCTCTGGATAATCGGACCATCTGTAGAGTGGAAACCAAACCTTCCTGAGGTGTCCTTGGGCCAGTCCCAAGCATCAGGCTTTCTGCCAAGGGACAGTGAGACAAAGCAGAAGGACAGGTGGCCTGGGGACATCCTGGCCAGGTCTGGGAGCCCCAGACTGGCCCTAAACTGTGGTTTTCCACACAGCCACCTGAGGACATCCCAAGCCAGTATATCTCAGAGTCTGGACCAGGCCCTGGGGGACAGAGTGAAGGGACTGGTTTCAGGAACTTACATTTCTTCTGGATCACTTCTCCTGGAGACGGGAATGTGACAGGATCCCTTCACTGTTGTATCTTGAATAAACGCTGCTGCTTCTCCCTCTGGGGTCATGGCCCTGTCCCTGTATGGGAGGGGCCTCTTCCATTCCCTGACTCGGAAACCACACTCCATTTATAAAAGAATTGAGAGGGTAAGTCAGAACTGGGTAACATTTTGACTCCATTCACGGCTTTCTTTTTTCTTCTTTCCAGAAGGACTTTTGTTCAGAAATGGATCTTTTCTTGCTGTGTTTGTCCTTATTGGAAGGCAGCTCCAGGAGGCCTGTGAAATGTGGTGGGACTGGACTCCAGGGGAGGGAGTCCCGGGCTGTGCACTTTAGGATTCCTCCTCCAGGGAGAGCAACCTCATCCCTGATCCTGACCGCCCTCCCAGCGCACCCTCTCCTATTTGGCTTCCACAGGCCGGGATTTCTTTGGCTTCCCTCTGCCCACACTCTCCCTGCCCCAAGTGTCCCCAGCACAGGTGGCTTCATTTTCCCTCAACTCAGGGAACTTGCTCAACTTCTGTAAAAGTCCCCACTTAGAGGTAGAAGCTTGCTGATGGCATGTTTTAAAGCTTTGATTCAAATAACCTTTTAATACTTGAATATTTTAAGTTTTATACATAGTTTCTAATTTTTTTTCCTAACAGATTCAGATACCTAATAAGATCCTAGAATAGCACCATTTTGTCTTCCTCTAAGCGCCTGGCTCCACTTTTCTCAGGAGTGGGTTCTGAAGTCTCTGGACTACAGGATATTCAGAAGGTCAGGAAGGAGCCAGGCCTAGGGATGAGGGGCAGGGGGATGGCCTCCTTCCTTGAGCAGGCAGAGGCACAGGACCACCCGCCACCCCCTCTGCCAGCACCTGTGTGGGAGCCCAGGCATCCTTTGTAACCCTGCATTACCAGCAGGCTGAAAGAAAATAGAAGCATGGAGACTGCCACTTATTTTCAACAAATTAACCCATAAACAATTGCCTCACTTTTTCAGAAAAAGGGGGTTGGGGCAAGGAGAGGGGAGAAGGGAGACGAAACCCAGAGCCGAGTTTCCAGAAAATCCTGCAGGAGAAGAGGATGCAGCTGCCCAGAGGAGGGAAGCAGGATCACACTCAGGAAAGTGTGTGGGGTCCTGGATGACATCAACACCCAGTGCAGCTCTGTCTGGCGACCTCTCCCAAGGTGGGAAAGGTGAGTGTTCCCTGGGTGTCCATGGGCAGATCCTGCTGAGCACACAGCATGTCGGGGAGTCTGACACTGGAGCCATGCGCCTCACACTCCTCTCTGCTTGTGGATCTGGTGAGGCAGGGAGCAGAAAACAAAGCCACATGAAAGTTTTCTGTCTGTGTCTGTGTGTAGTGTTGCTTTAGTTGTGCTTTTTTCTTGCTGGGAGAGCACAGCCACTGTTTGCAAGAAGTGTCACCCTCGTGGGTGGGAGGACAGAACAGGAGCCTCTGCCCTCTGTACCTTTCTGGGCCCGCTGGGCTCTCCTGTCCTGGCTTCCATCTCTGTCTGTCTCCGCAACCCTGCAGCCTGTAAGGGAACACATGTTGCTTAGAAAAGCCAAATCCAGCCTTTGTCTCAGTCTCCTCTGTTCTCATGATGTGCATCTGCCATCTTGAAACTGGAAAGCAATATGTCAATGTCTGTGTCGATTTCCATTCCCTGCCCCACTTCCGTCCCCATGCAACTTATATTTATGTAGGATGCATGCTATCGATGGGATGACCACACTTTCCATGTTCTAAAAGGGCTCCTTTCCTGCTTGGCCCCAGGAGTGATGGTTGCTTTGATCTGAGGCTGTGTCTTTTACCTGCCTCCTGCCTCAAAAGGCTGTGCAGTGGCAAAGCTGTTGCAGGGCTGGGAAATGAAAGGTTCTCTGGGATGGGGAATCGGCTCCTTCTCTGCAATGCAGGCAAAGGCCTGGACACCAGTGTGATCTCCCACAAGGCATGGCTGCTAGACTTTCCAACCACAAGTGATGCTTTTTTGCATCAGGCTCTGGGTTTGAAGCAGCCTGACTTTCTCTCTTGGTAAGTGGCTGGTGTCTTAGCAGCTGCAATGGAGCTCATCCACCTACACACCACCGTGAGGGAAAGAACTGCTGACACTTTCATTAAAGTTCTCTGAGATGACTTGCGTGCATGTCAATTTTATCATCAGAGCCACTGGGTAGAAGCCCTGAGCTGCTGGGGCTGAAAGCAGCAGGTGCAGGGATGGGCTGGGTGCCTAGGAGACCTCAGTGCTCAGTCAGGCAAAGATGGCCACACAGAGGCCACAGAGAAGGCAGGCCTGGCAAGGGGGGAGGGTGTGGGTGAGCACAGGCAGGCGCCAGCTGGACAGCATTAGGACATTGTAGCAGCAGCAGTAACTCCACTGAGTCAGGCAGTCTGGTTGGGGCGGGGAACTGTTGCTTTCCTGGAGAGAGACCATTGCCTCTTAGGAGAGGCTGTTCTGTCCCTGCAGGTGAGTCCAGGACAAATCCTGCCAGGATGACGTGGCTGGTGCTCCATTGCTGTGCTGGGCCCTGGGATAGGGAGGACTCCCACCCTCCAGGCCCAGCCCAGGCCCAGGTTCTTACCTGCAGCCTCCGCTCTGACATGAGCCCCTCAGCCTTGGGACATTTCTGCTTGGTCTAGGGTTTGGTGTGACTGCTGAGTCCAGCCTTTACTTGTGGCTGTGTCCAAGCCAAGGCCAGGCCACTGTCATGGCCCAGGGAGCAGGACCATTCACTTCTGCCCCAAATCTGAGATCATTCCACCTCGAAGAGACTTCCTCATTTAATCCCTTTATTTGATAGCTGGGGAGACCAAGGTGCAGAGCACCCCCAGCTCACTTGCAGTCTCAGAGCTGATCCATGAGCAGAGGCTGAGATCCTGCGATCTTGTCCCCCTGCCTCCCCACAAGCTTACTTCCTTTCTGCTGGATGAGATGGGGCCGGACCTCGACCGGAAGCCCTACCTGGACATGACTGCTCATGCAGGCGCTCGGGCCGAGATGTCCTGGCATCGTGTATTTGATTATTATCATTATTATTCTGAGACAGAGTCTTGCTCTGTCACCCAGACTGGAGTGCAGTGGCACAATCTTGGCTCAGTGCAACCTTTGCCCCCTGGGTTAAAGTGATTCTCCTGTCTCAGCCTTTCAAGTAACTGGGACTACAGGCTCACACCACCACACCTGGCTAATTTTTGTATTCTTAGTAGAGGCGGGCTTTTCCCATGTTGGCCAGGGTGGTGTTGAACTCTTCACCTCAGGTGATCTGCCTGCCTTGGCATCCCAAAGTGGTGGGATTACAGGTGTGAACTACCCCATGATTTAAATGCAATGAAAGGCCCGGCACTGTGGCTCACCCTGATAATCCCAATACTTTGATACAACGAGGCAAACAGATTACCTGAGATCAGGAGTTGGAGACCAGCGAGGCCAACCTGGTGAGACCCCATCTCTACAAAAAATAGAAAAAATTATCCCTGCCTGGTGGGGCACACCTATAGTCCTATTTACTCTGGAGACTAAGGCATGAGAATCGCTTGGACCCCAGGGGCAGAGACGCAGTGAGCTGAGATGGAGCCACTGCACTTCAGCCTGGGCAACAATATGAGACCCTGTCTCTAAATAAATAAATAAATGTGGCAGAGCATGGTGGCTCATGCCTGTAATCCCAGCACTTTAGGAGGCCAAGGCAGGCGGATAATGCAGTCAGGAGTTTGAGACCAGCCTGACCAAAATGGTGAAATTTAGTCTTTACTAAAAATACAAAAATTAGCAGAATGTGGTGGCACTTGCCTTTATACCCAGGTACTGTTGACACTGAGGCAGGAGAATCGCTTGAACCCGGGAGGCAGAGGTGCAGTGAGCTGAGTTTGGGCCACTGCTCTCTAGCCAGAATGACTGCTCAAGACTCCAGCTCAAATAAATAAGAAATAAATAAATGTAAGCCTGTAATTCTATCACTTTGGGAGGCTCTCGTAGGTAGTTCACCTGAAGTCAGGAGTTCGAGATCAGCCTGGCCAATATGGGGAAACCCCATCTCTACCAAAAATATAAATACTAGCTGGGTGTTGTGGCATGCGCCTGTAGTCTCAGCTGCTCGGGAAGCTGAGACAGGAGAATTACTTGAACCCAGAAGGAGGAGGTTGCAGTAAGCCAAGACCACACCACTGCACTTCAGCCTGGGCGACAGAGCCAGACTCCGTCTCAAAATAAACAAATAAATAAAATTAAAAATTAAAAAAAATTGTAGTAAGATTGCAGAGTTGTGCAGCGGAAGCATGCTGTCCTATCCAGGTGGTGAAGGCAAACTTCATACACAAATCTCCCAAGAACTTTTATACCCACACCTGAAAGAAAGCCCTGATTGCCTTCCAAAGAAGCAGTACATGGACAAATGCATGGGCTATCCCAAACAGCACTGGAAAGATCAACAGAAAACAGGGAGTGACATGCTCAGCCCTTGAGGCCAAAATGCCCTTTCTCAGAGCAGCTGCCAGAAGACAGTGAGCAGGATCGGGTTGGAGGTCACCTGTGGGTGAAGGGGAGAACAGTCAGATCTGGGCAGTGGTGTAGGAGCCTGGGCATCCTCACTGGAATAGAAGAGAGCTGCTCCGTGAAGCTCAGCTGACAGACAGAGCCTTGCAAATTTAAGTTCTCATGGTACAGAGAGACCAGCCAAGGCAAGGACAAAGACAGGCATGCACAGGAATGGTTTCCTGGAGGACAGGGCCTGGTTACATCTCTCAAATGGGACCAGATTGGTAGGAAGATCAGCTGCTTTGGGCAACTGAGGTCGCTTCTGGATGAGCTCCCAAACTAGATGGTGCCAGGGGCCCTGGACCAGGCAGCTGGACTGGACATCTTAAGGTCCTGTATTCCAGGAAACGGCATCTCAGCACTTGTCTGGCCAGTTCTCCAAAAGAACCATCCACATGCCATCTTTTCATTTCCCCCCTGTTCACAGACTGGGCAGGGCCTGACCAGAAACTCTCCCTTAGCGTTTTCAGTCACTGCCAAAATTGGAGCCCGGCAGTGAGGAGGTGATGTTAACATGTGACTCTGGGCCAGGCGCTGCCTCATGCTGTGAACTCAGTGCTTTTGGGAAGCTGAGCTGGGAGGATCACTTGACATGAGCAGTTCAAGACCAACCTGAGGAACATAGATCTCTACAAAAAAAAAATAATAAAATAAAAATTACCCAGCTCTGGTGACATGCACCTGGAGTCCCAGCTACTCGGGATGCTGAGGGGGCTGGAGCTCAGGAGTTCAAAGCTGCAGCTCTGACGTTGCCACTGCACTCCAACATGAAAGGCAGAGTGAGGCCATGTCCTGAAAAAGGGACAAACATGCTAGGCATAAAAGAAACATACCTGAAAATGGCCGGGTGCATGGCTCATGCCTGTAATCCCAGAACTTTGGGAGGCTGAGGTGAGTGAATCACCTGACATCAGGAATTCAAGAGCAGCCTGGCCAACATGGTGAAACCCATCTCTACTAAAAGTACAAAAATTAGCCAGGCATGGTGGCGGGCACCTGTAATCCCAGCTACTCAGGACTCTGAGGCAGGAGAATTGCTGGAACCTGGGAGACGGAGGTTGCAGTGAGCTGAGATCCTGCCATTGCACTGCAGCCTGGGTGAAAAGAGCAAGACTTCATCTAAAAAAGAAAAAAACAACCAACATACCTGAAAATAATGAAAGCTGTTTATGACGAAGCCATACTTAACCTACTACATAATGAGGAAACATTGAAAACATTTCCTCTGTAAACAAAAATGCCCATTCTCACCACTGCTATTTAACATCACACAATCAGGCAAGAGGAAAAAATAAAAGGCATCCACACTGGAAAAGAGGACATCAAATTATCCTTATCTGATGAAGATATGATCTTGGATTTAGAAACATGTAAAGGTTCCACCAGAAAACCCCTAGAGTTGATCAATAAATAAATAAAGTTATTGCAGGATACAGAATCAATGTACCAAAATCAGCAGCATTTCTATACACGAATAATGGTCTCGTTGGGAAGGAAATTACGAAGGCAATCCCATTTACAGTAGCAACAACATGAAAAAAGATATGCCACGGAATAAATTTGACAAGGAGTTTGAAGATTTCTACAAGAAAAACTACAAAACACTGATGAAAAACTTTAATAAGATAGAAAGAAATGGACAATCATCCCATGCAAATGGATGAAAGAAACTCGTAGCATTAAAATGACCGTACTGCCCAAAGCAGCCTAGAGATTCAATACAACCCCTGCCAAAATACCAGTGTCATCACTCAGAATTGGAAACTCATACAATTCATATGGAACCAAAAAAGAGCTCAAAGAGTCAAAGCCTTCCTCAGCAAATAGAAAAAAAAAATTGAGGCATCCCATTTCACTACAAATTAGAACGACAAAATTTTTGACAAGTGCATGGTAACTAAAACAGCATGGTGCTAGCAGGAAAATAGACACATAGATCAATGGGACACATGACAGAGCCCAGAAAGACGGCCACATATTCACAGCCAATTGATCTTCGACACAGCTGACAGAAACACACACTGGGAAAGGACATTCTCTTCAGTGAATGTTACTGGTAGGGCTGGATAGCCACATGCAGAAGAATGAAACTGGACCCTTTTTCTCTCACCATATACAAACATCACTTCCAGATAGATTCAGACTTGAACACAAGATACAAAACTAGAAAAATATGAGAAGGAAACCTAGAGAAAACTCTTCTGGACCTTGTTTAGCAGAGCCGCCTAACTTTGGCAGGTGTACAGTCTGAGGAGGCAGCATGTGCATCACGGGGAGAGGAAGAAGATGGGTTAGAAAGGGTCCCAGCCTGGCTCGAGGTGGAAGTGGTGGGTAAGGAAACCCCTGCAGCTGAGTGTGCTGTGGTGCCCTGGGCTGGCTGTGTTGGAGCAGAAGATGAGGCCTGGGCTGCAGCTGAAGCAGCTGGACGGGAATATGGATGAACCCGCTTCAAGGTGCGGGTTTCCTGCTGCTGTCCATGAAGGACCACAGGTTTGGACTGGGTGACGGCTGCAGCGATAACAGCAAGTTTCTGTAGTAAGGCGAAACCACTGACCTTCTGTCTGGCCAGGGTGGTGGTATGAGAGGCAGAAGATGGGTCAGGAAGGGTCCCAGCCGGGCCTGCAGCCTGGGTCGACTTTCTTTTGGTGTGGAGGCTCAAGGTGGAAGTAATGGGTAAGGAAACTCCTGTGGCTGAGTGTGCTTTGGTGCCCTGGGCTGGCTGTGTTGGAGCAGAAGATGAGGCCTGGGCTGAGTCCCAGGAGTGTGCAGAGGTGGCAGGAAGGGTGTCTGAGGAGGAGAACAGAGGGCCTGCTGATCTGCGCTTCCTCCCAGACATAGGAGGTCTAGAGGGGGACCCTGCAGCAGATGCTTGGAGCACCACAGGGTCCAGGCCATCTTGGGACTTGCGTCTCTCCTGCTGTGCATCCATGCTGGCTGCTTTAGGGACAGCAGGCAGAGAAGACGTCCCTGTTGCCGGTGAGGACAAAGCATGGGAAAGCAGTGAGGCACTGCACTCCCAGATGGACTTGTCCTCACCCCACAGTGCACTGTTAATGCACATGATTTCCGCCTTTTTCTCCAGGTCCAGGTCTTCAGAGGTGACCTGGAACCCCAGCTGTAAGGGAGGTGGCAGCATCAGAGGCTCCCCTTGCCTGCGTGGCAGCAGAGGGAACTTTTGTCTACGAGGCCTAGAGGCCTGAGATGTCGGGGAGCCACTCCTGGGGGCCAGTTTCTCCCCAGGTGCTGAATCTGCTGCTTTTTCACACTGGGCCTGACCCTGAGAGACAGCCTGAGGGCTGACCTCACTCACTGTCTTTGAAGAAATGAGGGGTAGCCAGCAGTGGGGTGAGGCTGGCCCCTTCCTCCTCTTTAGCCATGGGAAGCCTCCCGTGAAGCTGTAGGAGCTGGATATGGCATGCGTTTGGGACAGCAGCTCATGCCAGAGGGCTGGGATTTCTTGTCAGTTGGGATTTCTGACCTCTGGGTATGGAGGTCTCTCTGCAGGGGCCCGGGCCTGGGTACAAAGGGAGAGAGGGCCTCCACTGTCCCGCAGGGGTCTAAATGCAGACCGTGCATCCCTGGTGCCCTCAGGGCCCCCTTTCTGATCATCAGGCTTCTCTTGGACTCTGGGGTCCTTGTCCTGCTCAGGCATCCCTGCCCCACTCTGCATGAGGGCCCTCAACATGATCTCTGGATGGGAGTGTGGGGTAGAGCTGGGTGTTCTGGGCCACAAAAAGGTGATTACCTGCTCCAGGGCCTCTCTGAGAGTCCTTAGGATCAGTGCAATCGCTGAGCTGCAGGACATTCTGGTATAGTGAGCACACAGCACTGGCTTGCTGCAGTACCTGTGCCTCAAATTGAAAGCAGGATCACTGGACGGAACACAGGGCTTGTAGGATACAGAAATCCTTGGAGTTGTTTCGACACCAGGCTGATTCCAAGTGTCTGGGTACTTGTAGGAAGGCTTGCCACTCTGTTCAGGGGCAGGAGCACCGGAGAGATCCCACAAGCAGAGTGAAGTGAGGGATGCGGGCAGCAGGCTCAAGGCAACTGAGTCCTACTGGCAGGTCCTTGGCCCCAGGACGGGACTGGGACAGGGATAAAGGGCACAGAGTTTCCAGGTAACCGCTCCTGGGAGCAGTGGGGTATTTTTGGATCCTTGAACTCTCGAGAGCTGGGCTCTGAGCATCCTCTTGTCTGCTGCCAACTTGGCCAAAGGCGAAGGGAGCATTCTCCTGTTGCTAGGAAATGCATCATTCAAACCTGAGCCAGTGGGCCACGTGCAAAGATGGGGGCGAGTAACAGATCCGCGCAGAAGTAACAGAAGGGCGACTTTACGGGATTCCTGTGACAAGGTATGCGCGCCAGGCACCCGCTGGGAATGCGGAGTTGGGGGGCAAAATATGTGCGTGAGGCACCTGCCAGCAATGGCGGCGGGGGAGGGCGCGGGGTAGAAGGGGCGCCTGATAGGTACCGGAAAAAGAGGCGCATGCACAAAGGGTGCCAGACGTTAACGGTTTGGGCGGTAAGGTTTGCGCACAAGGCACCTGATGGCAATGGAAGGGGTGGCGCGCGCAAGGGGTACTGTAGGGAGAGGCGCGTGCACTAAGGACCTGGGACCTTAACGGATTGGTGCGGCAAGGTACGGACACGAGGCAGCTACTGGCAACTGCGGGATTGGGGGCGGGGGACTGAGCGGCGCACGCACTAGGTACTGGAAGGAGAGTCGAGCACAAAGGGCTCGGGATCTTAACGGATTGGCCTGACAAGGCACGTGCACAAGGCCATGATTATCAGTCCATGATTATTAACATCTCTAAGCTTTTGCTCATGCTATTATCTACCTTCCTGGAAAACCCTCCCCACCTCAAGGGTTACTTCCTCCAAAAAGCATTCCTGGATCTCCCAGCTGCTGACTCCTACAGCACTCTGGGAAAAATCTCTACCTTATCACTGCAGCCACCACCATGTATCAAAATTATGACCATCCTGGCCAAAACGGTGAAACCCCGTCTCTACTAAAAACACGAAAATTAGCTGGTAGTGGCGGCAGGCGCCTGTAGTCTCAGCTACTCGGGAGGCTGAGGCAGAAGAATCGCTTGCACCTGGGACGCAGAGGTTAAAGTGCCACTGCACTCCAGTCTGGCAACAGAACGAGACTCTGTCAAAAGAAAAAAGAAAAAGAACCAGCAGAGCCTTGTCCACACCCAGCGCCAGAGCATCGACAAACTGGAGCGGCGGCTGGACTGAGCTGAGCGCGGAGAATCGCTGCTTGTGGGAGCATCAGCAGCTGCTGCAAAGCGTAGCCTCCGCCAGGATTCCTTACCTGCTGGTCTTCCGGCTGCCGGCCTCCTAGGCACCGCTGCTGCCACTGCCGGGGCGCAGGAACATCTTCAGCACTACGGACAGCGCTCATTCGCCCAGGGACAGCCGGCATCGTTTCAGAACCACGGACAGCTCATGACGGCGGGGCTCACACACCCCAGGCTCTCTATCAGCACCTGGGGACACTTGGGGCCAAGGCCAACAATGAGAAGAAAGGTCCCCGGATTGCCATGCTGCCCCCGGAGCCCCTCTTCAGCAAGAATCTCCCTCGCCGTCGCCGAACGCGTCCCGAGCAGCAGACCCGAGTGAGCGGGGAGGAGCAGATGGGCACTGCCATGGTGGGAACAAGGGAAGCAAGCGGGTGTGAGGGGACAGATAAATCGGGTGCGTAGGAATCTAAAGGACCTGGGTGATGTGGTGTGAAGGGGTGAGAAGATGTTTGGGGGCAGAAGCCTGATCGGGAGATTTGTGGGGAAAGAGGGAAAAATATGTGTTTGAGAAGGTTTGGGCGAATGTTGGAGCAAAAAGGAGTAACCAGATCATCGGTAGGGGCAAAGGAGGAAAGAAATTGGACATTTAAGCGATTGAGGATATTGAAACCTGGCAGCATTTAAAGGGGTTAGACTGGGGAGGAAGTCGGAGTGAAAATCAAACTGAAGAAAATAGAACCATTGAGATTTTTTGTTTTAGTTAGAAAAAATTTGGAGGAGAGTTTGACTAGTAAAAGTATTTGAATGGAGAGTGGGATATGAAAAAATCAGAAGCTTGGAGGCTGCAGCCAAGAAAGGGTACTGGGTAGAGAGGAATTCAGAAAGTGGGGGACAAAGCTGAAAAGCAGGAGTGATATGGGAAGGCAGGGGAGCTGGAAGAAGAGGAAGAGAAAACATGGCTCTGTGCAGTGGTAGTCACAGCCAAGAGTGGCTCATTTGCGGAAGCTTTCTCTGCTCTGACCCAAGTGAGCACCTTTCTTCCGAGCACCACCCAAAGTGGGGTGCTCACTTAGAATTGAGCTGAAGGGGTTAAAAAGACTCGGTGAGACATAGATTGGACACATTCCTATCATGCACCAACACATCACATGAAATGAAACCTCATGTCCTGTACCCACCTTATGTGCATTTATTGCACCCTGGTGAGTCCTACTCTACTTTAGTCTGTGTATTTTATTTAAAAATCAATTCACAATCCCTACTGGGTCACCCTACAGTCCAAGAAACACTGTTGCATTCCAACCCCGTTTTCCAGACAAGACAACAAACTCACTGGTCCATAGGGCCACCTCACACCTTTTCCCAGCACAGAACAGACTTGAAGAACTTTTAGCTGTGCAAGAACTCTAGTTGAGCAAAAACCACACATGCTTATGCCTGCAAGCCTTATTCTCATTCTCAGCCAGGTAAGCCTCCCTATCATATTTTTTTTTCTTTTGCATATCACCCCCACTTTTGCAGCACATGTCTGTTTGTTTGATCTTGTGCATGGTACCCATTAAAGTCACCCTGCTCTGAAGCCTGTACCTCTCAGGGTTGTACCACTCTGGGGTGATTAGTGAGAAACTGTCTGTATTATCTTCCTCTTCTGAGACCCTCCTAGTTTGTAGAAAGAAGAAAAGATAAAAGAAATGGGAAGAAGAAAAACTACAATTTTGGTAGAGAAGAAAAATAGATGAGGGTGGATTAGAGACACCAGTTAGCAATCTAAGAATCTTGCATTCCAAGTAAAGGATAATGATAGTTTTATAGGATTGTGGCAGTGAGACAGAGAGAAGTGAATCAAGTTGAGAAACGTTTAGGAAGTAAAATGGACAGAACTTGGTAATAGATTAAATATTATGCATGACAGAAAGGGAGAGTGTGGTGGCAAGGATGACTTAAAGTTTCTGGCTTCATAGCTTTATGGATAATGACACCACTGCTGAGCAAAGGAACACTGGAAAAGAGCCATATTCTATGTAACCACATATTTCATATTTCTGTTAGATAGCATTAACATATCTCCCCTGTATTATAGTTATTTATAGGCATGTAAGTTTCCGACAACAAGGCTTTTCAGAGGTTTGCAAACTAAGACCCACAGGTCAAATAGAGACCTGTTTGGCCCCTAGCTAAGAATTGTCTTTACATTTTTAAAAAGTTGTTAAAAGGAAAAAAGCAAAGATAAATGTGTACCACAGACTGTACATGATTAGCAAAGGGTGAAATATCTGCTCCCTGGCTTTTTATTGAAAAAGTTTGTGGATCCCTGCTCTCTGTACTTCATTTTGTTTTATTAGATAATAAATACTTGCTAATAAAATTGAATTTAATACTTGAAAACAAGATATCCTCCAAAGAATTTAACATTGTAAAATAAAAATAATACATAGGAAATGTAAGTTTCCTATATTATGTTATTCTGATATTATGTAATATTCCTATATTAGGTTTCCTATGTATAGCATATAGAAAAATGTGTATTTTTGAAGTTCAGAAAATGAAAACATTTGAACTTAGCAAAAATTTATAAAGAAAACAATTTGTGAAAACTTGAAGCCTCAACTTGGATGAACACTTTGGAAGTAATTTAAGCATTATTTAATTTTTGTGGTGAGATGAATGTGCTTTTACTCTTTCAAAATTATATAGTGTGGAAGATAAATTATTTTCTCCTAAACACCAAGTTTTATTGCTTACAGTTTCTCAGTTTCCCATTTACTTTTCTTTATGATAACTTGACAAAAATACACCTTACCCAGAATGTTAATGAGTGAACCATGGCTCGACAGTTTAGTCAACGTGAAGCCAAATTCCAATGCTTCGTTTACAATCACATTTGTATGGAACCCAATCATTTCTCCATGTAAAAACTATTGCTTCACTTCATCCACAGACCCCCGTCACAGTCCACTTTGTGCCACATTCTGTAACTTGTACCTAGAATTAAGGTTTGGACATTGTTGCAGATGGCTGCCTCTGGTAATTAATTTTATTTCATCTAGTTTTCTTAAGAGGCAAGGTCGCAGGAGTTGCCATGTAAATGAATATGCAAGTTGGTAACTTAAGCTTATAGCCAAGTCACTCTATTTTTCATAGGTTAGCAGCCAGATTGATCTACTTGCATACATCTGGTAAGATACAAAGCATATTAGGCATAGGTGAGGGAGCAAAAAAGGAAGGAGAAAGACAGAGACTCTGTCCTGTGAATGAACATTCAATGAACCCATCTTTAAACACTCGGTTTAATGCAGACTTCCTTTATAAAGCGTTTTCTTACCCTTCCCCCATCTGTTTTTGAGTTTAGTGTGAGCTGCTTTTTTTTTTTTATACCCCCTCATACATCGTTCAAATATCTGTCCATACAACTGTAACATTTCAGGGCAACTGGTCCACATTTCTACTCCTGTCTGCTAGACTGAAGACTCATTAAGGACTGCACCTTCTCTATCTTTCCTGTCCCCTTACCTAATACAGTGCCTACCTCAAACCAGGTAGGTTTGTAAGATGAAGGAATCCCTGTATAGTTTGTAATTCTAGGGAGAGGGCGATGCCTAGTAGGAGTGGCCAGAAGGATTCCTTATGGATAAAAAAGAATGAAGAGATATAAAGGGATGCTGAATGTTGGATGTCTTGGGAGGCAGTCCTCCTCTGTGGTTTCTGACCATTGAGAGATCAAATGGGGATGGCGGCAGAGGTGGCTAAGTTGTCCCCACTATCTAGTTTCCCCTTCTTCCAAAGTGAGTGGCTCCTCAATTTTTGGCCTAAATACAGGACTACCCACAAAGCAGACTTCAATTCCCAGCATCCCTTGCAGCCGGGTGTGGTCATGTAACTGACATCTGGCCAATGGGATTTAGGCATGTGCTCGGTGACAATTTCCAGGCCGTTGCTTCTTTTTCTCTCCACATCATCCAACCCCCATCAAAAGGTTGAGGGCTACATCCAAGTTATGGTGTGGCCGTGAGAAGGAAGGAGCCTGGTATCCCAAGGACTTCATAGGGCATGGCTGATATGCAAGCCTCAGACTGCAAACTTTGGACTATTGCCTGAGAAAAGGAATTAACTTCTATTTTTTTCATCCTTTCTCTCTTTTCTTTCTTCCTTTCCCTCTTTCTTGCTCTCTTTCTTCTTTTTCTTTCTCTTCCTTTCTTTTCTTTCTTTCTACCAGCTTTTCCTAACTTTTTATTGTGGTAAAATAGACCTAACCTAAAATGTGCCATGTAA